AGTTGGGGAGGGTAATCCTAAGACCTGGATTGTTGATCCTGACCAGTCCGATAGGTTTCGGATGCTAAAGAAAATGAGATTCAAGCTCGTTGATGGCAAGGACAAAGAGTACGTTCGTCACGGGATAGAAGTTGTAGACCGGTTCTTCTCAGTTGATGTTTGGACAGGCTACAAAGATACGCTGTTGGAAAATGTTGGAAGTATTCAAAAGGGTGCCATATATTTAGTGGCTGCTACTGTTAGTGGAAAGGAATGCAAAATTACTTTAAGGAGTCAAATGTACTTTAAAACTATTTAGAATTGTAATTTTATGTATTTTACTTCTAATGTTCAGGTTAATGGAGGTGAACAATATAAAAACTGGGATTGTTGAAGGTGTTTCAACAAATAATTTCAGTTGTATTGAACTTGCGTTGCCTAATTTATTTTCTCAATTGAGGTTAGGATACAAACAAAAAAGTATTAAGGTTGATAAAATATTCCCCCCTTTGCGCACCCAATGCTAGTGGGTTGGTCAAAGTAAATATTTATGATCAGAGGTTAGGCGGTAGTAACAGTTTGCAAGCGTGGTTTATTTTCCCAGTGGATTGCCAATACAAGTTAGTCTATTATGGGAATGGTTATTGTTCAATTAACGACAAACAGGTGCCATGGATGGTGAAGTATTGACTTCAAAATTCGAATATTAAAAGGGGGGTTACGTATTGTAAAATGAAGGGGTATCTGAAGTATTCTACGAGTGACATGCCAGAAGATTTGCAAATGAGGGCCTCCTCTATTGTTGTGTTATCTAAAAAATATACTAATGATAATGTTGATGTTTGGCATTGCCCTGCAACGAAGGCCATTCCGATTCTGACACGGACTAAGTCTGTTGGTTTACCGGAGAGGCGAAGAGATTTGTTGTTAGGAGGTTTTGGGGAAAGTGGTTCAGTTATTCATGAACGCATAGGTCGTCTGAGTTTGTCAGAGATTGATGTACGCAGAGGTGGTGATGATACTAGTGATGTTGATCCTGGTCCGTCGATTTCAGAGGTTGGTGTTAGCAAAGAGGAAGTTGATCGTAGAGGATCAGTTGTTATGGATGCAGCAGAATTTTCTAATGTTTTACGAAATGTAATCATCAGTGTAAAAAATAGTGATGTGACTCAAGATGTAATAGTTGATGATAAGGGAAATGTAGTAAGTAAATAAAATTTTGAGTAGTTTCATAAATAAAATTAATAAATTTTTTCATTAATCATGACAGTGGTTACATTAATATCAAACCATTCTCTCATTTTTGGGGACATTGCATCTAACCAACTACTGTCCCCATTTGTTAATAAAATACAAGGAATTCCCCCTCTGATAGTGAGATCTAGTTGGAACTTAACAAATACATGGAAATCTCTCTGGCAGCCTACTAAATTCTTCATTAATTTGGTAGGGACTATTGAGTATTTGATGTCATCTATGACATTGTAGACGGCGTCTTGGTCGTAGTACTTGAAGCTTATTCTGCCAGAGTAGTAATTGTGTCGTCCGAGGCTTCTGGCCCAGGCGATTTTGCCTGTTCTTGAGGGTCCTTCGAGGTAGAGGGAGATTGGGCGGATGGATCTCCGCTCTGGTTCTTGTTATCAGAGGAGGAGAAGAGTTCTTCGTCAGTATATAAATTATTGATATTGTTTTTGTGTATCCCTAATCTAAGGAAGTCGTCTTCCCTCCAAATGGAGAGACAACAATTTTGACATAACTCGTACTGAACGAAATTTCGACTTACAAACAAAATATTACTTTCTGCCCATTTTTTTACTTCTTCATTTAAGAAAGGAAATGAATTAAAGGGGCTAGTATATTGGGGCCTCTCTCTTTTGTAATGATCCCTCGAAAATATTTTTAATTGGGGGTATTTTGTGACATAATCGGTGGGACATCTTTCTTTACAGAGAGCAAAGAATTATTCCTCCATTTCTGCTTCGCCAAGTATTCCCCTCCAGAGTTCGTCTCTGTTTTTCGAAGGACTTTTTCCCTTAGCTGAAAATTCTCCCCATTCGATGAACTCGCCCTCTTTATGTAGATACTGTCTACTTGCTGTTGGAGAGTGGAGTTTTTCTATATTTGAATGGTAGATCCTCCTGTTGGTTCCGGTGAGATCAAAAAATCTCGGGTTTGAGGTTTGGATCTTCTTCGTGCATTGAACCATGGCATGAAGGTGAGGGTTTCCATCTTCATGGAGCTCTCTTGCGACAAGTATGTAGTATGGCTGACAGGCTAGTTGGAGGAGAGATTGTAGGAGTTCTAAGAGTTGTTCTTTTGGGCATGGGCATTATGGGTAAGTGAGGAAAACATTCTTGGCATAAAAACGAAAAGAGGCTTAGCGAGGCATTTTGTAGTGGTAAACAGTGAACTCACACCAGCCGTACAAGGCCTCCAAATTAGTTAAAAAACCTGGTGTGAATGGCGTGAGTGGTGTGATTGGGGGGGCGCTGTATTAATATTACCAGCGCCTCCCCCTCCCGCTGATCTGAGCCGTCCATTGCTGTACTTACGGACACGTATATGGATGTAGTAAAAAAGAAGTCACACCCGGGCCCAGGTGTGAGTGGTGTGAGTACTTTTGATTCCTTTGCCAGATAGTGCTATACACGTGTCGCTCTTCTGGTGGTTTGCGTGGCTGTAAAGAAAATATTTTTGCAGAATGATAGACACAAAGCAAAGGCGGGAAAACAAATGCGTTTGAATTATTTTGAATGGGGAATCTTCGTCCTTACACGCTGGCCAATTTTGCTATATATTTGGTACCAGATAATATTTTATGGCACAAAGGAATATGCTTTTGCAGTGAGATAGCTATTGTGGTGAAGTTGCTTTCTGGTACCTTATTTCGTCCCTCCTTTTCTTTTTGTCTTTTTTGTTGATTTATTTGGTATACAATGTTGTACTCCTTAGAAGAGTACCCACTGTTGGTGACATGTTGCTGTCAACCCAAGCCACTTTCAAACCTGTGTTTGGTGATTGGATGTTAGTGGCATAACGGAAACCATCTTGACCTCAAAAATCGTCTTTTGTTTTACCGGCGTCAAGACCACCTCTGGTGACCACCTCTAAGGTTTGAAGGAAGAAGACAACTGTCCTACTTACCCCCTTGACACCCCCTTGACCCAGCTAACCTCTCTGACCCTACTAACCTCTTTGATCGCTCTGTCCTTACCCCGCCAACCTACACCCCCAAGTCAAACCCCTCTGTTCAGTTCATCTTATCCTCGAGCCGTGCGTGCTTGACATTTACCCCTGTTTCCAACTCTTTTGCTGTCCTAAACTGCTGCCACGCCTCAGCCCATGCAGATATAGACCCATTTTTTATACATCATCCCTCTTCACCTTGACTGTCCAAAACCAGCAACATTTTGAACCTCCTTACTGTCTTGTCACCCTCAGCTTTCTCTTCCTACTTTAAATCTCCATCACCATCCTTCAACTTTAAACTTCTCAAACCTTCCGTCTCTTATTCCCCTCTATCTTCCCCTTCACTTACAAATAACGCCTCACCGCCACCGACCTCCACATCAGCCACGCCTCCATCCCCCACTTACATCCTCTCTATCCCTCCCAATCACCCGACCCTACTCTCTCTAGCCAACACAGAACCTTGCTTCCTTTTTCATCCACAAAATCTTCCCTAACAAGTAAGACAAGGTTGGTACATGGGCACCAACTCTCTAAACCGAGTGGACGACCAACTGATCTCCATGATCTAGAGGGACCCATCTCACCTACTTGGCTGGTACGACCCTAATATTCTCAACATGTGGATGTCCCTAATCCCCTACTACTCTCCTCCAAACCTGTCCTCATCCAGATAGACAGTGGTAGTGTATTTTCTTTCAACACTTTACACTCATACAGAGGATGCTCCCCGCCAAATGATTCAATACAACCAAGTATCCATTCCTTCTCACAACCTCCTCCCGAATCTACAACAGGTCCTCCAAACCATACTTGTGGAAACGTTTCTCCCACCCACTCCACCACCCCAAAGGGACTTCCATTGCCTGGTAGCGAGTCCACGAGAATTCCTAATGGATAGAGCATCCTACAGCGCCGAACACATAGTGGCTGTAACGACCCCATCACGTATAATGATTAGTACTTGATCAATTAAGAGGATTTGAAATTTAATTACCGAGTATTATAATTTAATTTGGGATTTATGAGGATTGTGGGATCTGACTCGTATATGATTCTATTAAAGATTTATTTTGGAATTAGAAATTGAGAGTCCAAATGGCTTAAGGAAGTGAAGTTAAGAAGTTGAATCAATTTAATCTTAATTATGGACCCATTTGGGAGTTTAATTAAATATTTGATTCAGTTTAGTAATATTGAGATCTGATTAATTAGGTCGGCATTGGAGAAAATTAAGTTAATTAAATTATGAGGATTGAGAATTGTGATTATTACGAATTAAATTTATTTATGGGGTGTCCAATTTGGATATGTAATTTATTGACGAAAATTTGAAGTCTGATTAGAAACTAAAGGCCCAAATAGCTTGAGAAACCAAAATTGAGGATGGAAATAAGTTTAATTTAATATTTAGAGCCTTTTGGGAGTCTGACTAAAAATATGATTCGGATTGATAAAATTAAATATAATTAATTAGGTCTTAATGGAAGTCAAGTTAGACTAATTAAATTATGTAGGAATTATGATTTGTTGTAATTAATTTGATTATGTGTTGATCAAGATTTATTAAGATTAAGTGATGCTTAATTGAATTAATCCTTGACATCAATTAAATTATGCAACAAATTAGAATTGTGTGTGGGTGTGCAGAGAAACTTGTGTGGGGGTATTGAGAAATCTGATTGTGTGCATATGTGTAAGTGATGTGCTGGAAGCTTGACCCAAGGTGCACATGTGCAATACGTGTCAACAAGAGAGGTGTGCTTGTGTGTGCGTATATGTTGAAATATTTGAATGAAGGCTTATTTGGGTGTTCTGCTGGAAAACCGTGTGAGAGAGGGAGAGAGTGTTCCAGGCACGTAGTTGCTGGAAAATAAAATAAAATGGGGAGTTGCTCTATGTCAAGGAGAGAAAGATGGAGCTCAAGGAAGCATGGGTTTAAAGAAAGGAAAGGGGAAATTCAAAGGAAATTCACCACTCAAGAACTCTAGTAGGTATGGAATTTAAGTTCAAATCTTTTAGATTAATCACTTAAAAGCTGGAAAAAAGAATAAGATGAAGAAAATCAAGCTAAGTGTAGGATTATGGAAATAAATTTGAAAATTAATTAGTTTGAGTTTGATTTTTATTATTCTTCATAAATTTGAGGTTCATCCTTGCATGCATGTTAGGATTTCAAAGTTTTAGATTTAATTCATGTGTAAAAAGACTTATGAGATTAAATTTGAGTTTGCATGTAAAATCAAGTTAGGACCAAGAGTATCAATTATGATTTCTTAAATTTATTAAACTTGGGTTCAATTTCATATAAATAGATGAAGTTAGCAAGATGATAAATAAATGGGATTATGTTCAATTTATGGAAATTAAATTAGAAATCAATTATTTTGACTTTAATTTTGTAATCTTGCATGAGATTAAGTTCCATTTGTTACATGCATGAATAAATTTTACAAGTTTAATACTCTAATGATACATACATCATGGATTTTGAAGGATTTGGATTAATTCAATCTCATATTTTGAAGAGAAAAAGGAAATGTTTTATGAACATCAAGTTTATGGAAAATTAGAATTAATCCTAATGCTAGATAAATCTTTAATTTTATAATTAGATTTTTAATCCATGCATGTAATGTAATTTAAGATTTTATTTAAATTAAACATATTTTGATTATGATTTTGAATGAATGATTTCTAATTGAAAGTGTTTACCAAATTATACAATGGTTCTCCATTTTTGTGTATCAAAAATACATGTTTTGATGCTTTGAATATCAAATTTGAACTTCAATTGCAATTCTGAAAATTTCAGAATTTACGTTGTCCGCTCGAGCTAGGAAAGTCTCGCTCGAGCGTGAAAATCGAGCTCCCAGAAGTTTTTCAAATTTTACAGTCCACTCGAGCGACCAAAGTAGCGCTCGAACGAAGACCCCATTTTCAGCATATTTTGGAAAGTTGCATTTAGTTCACATTTTTACTCTCATCTCTTTCTAAAGCATTCTAGACGTGATTTATGACTCAATAAAGATTAATGAGCTACCAATCAACATAGATTAGTTAGTTAAAGAATGAATCATTGATCTAGTGGTAATTGTTTAAGAAGCCATGTAAAGGATCAATCTATTTGGAAAGGAAAGACTTAATAATGAAAGAATATGTGAAATAAGAACTCGGTTTATTTAAATGAGAAAGAATAAGCATAGTAGAACTTCAGACTATTTAGACGGAAAAAGACAAGAAAAGTCAAGTTTGATCAAGGAAGTAATATTGTATTTCAATGTGTATATGTTATGTGCTTGTGTAGGTCACGCGCTATTGCCTGCCTGATTGTGATCTGTCTGATCTGCTTGTGCAACTATCTGTGAGTAATAACTTTGTAAAGTTATGTTCAATGTTAAATATTTTCTGAACATTATGACATAAAATGATTAGTCTTCTGAAATGCTACGCTATGTTTTGAATGAATGAATGATCGTCCAAGATTCTGAAAGTTATGCGTGGCATCCTTAGCTTCATATGATATGCGTCCCTTCATGGGTCATCAGGTCCCTTTATGGGTCATCAGGTCCCTTCATAGGTCATCAAGTTCCTTTATGGGTCATCAGAAACGTCTCTGTGCACATGAGTCATCGGAATGCCTTTAAGGCCGTCCCTTTATGGGTCATTGGATTTGTTAATGCTAATGGATGTACCACGTATGATTATATACGAAATCTGAATATGAAGATGATTATGAGTATGTATATGAATCTGTTTCTGATTTGGAATCTGAATATGCGTAAGACTCTTTTTCTGATAAGAATTTGATTTCTAACTCTGTGATGGATATCATTCATTAAATCCTTTACTTTGTTATTATTCACTGAGCCCCAGCTCATTGTTTATATATATGTATGTAGGTGACCAGAAGCATGACCAAGCTTAGAGGCCTCTGCCTGGAATCAGTTCTTGACAGCCAACCTATGTGCCTCCCGTGGAGGTTCCGGTCATGACTAGTGGTTATGGCTAAGTGCATAAGTAGAAGTTTTATTTTCCTGTCCAGCTAGACAAGTCCTTGTGTATTGTGTAAATAAGGCTAAGTCCCTTATGTCAGCTTATATATGTATATATATGATGATGTGTATATAAGTATATAAAAAGTTTAAATTTTTTCTGTCTTACATAAGTCTGCACAGCTCAATGGACGATGTATATTTGTTATTTGCTTCCGCTAGCCCCTAATATTATGTTAATTTGTCTCAAAGGCCTTCGATAATCCCAGGATTACTGGCCAGTTACGATGCTAAACCTATAGGGGCGGGTTTGGGTCGTGACAGTGGCGGAACCAAACCTCTACAAACTTCGCGTTATTGTGAAGTCTTGTGTGAGGCTCGCAAGTTCCAGCCTTGAACACTTGATTACTCTAATCTCGGCTCTTTGGACCAACTCACCGCTGCACTTGAACCCTAAGTGGCTAACCTCAGAGGAGGAAACCTTACCGGAAGGCGATTTCTCTCGCCTTTCACCCCTACTATTCAAATCTTCAATGAAGATTCTCCTTTGGAACTGTAGGGGTGCAGCGAACCTTCACTTTCGCCGCCATCTATTTGATCTACTCACTATGTATAAACCCCAAATGCTAGTCATCACTAAAACTCGGATAGGGGGAGAAAGAGGCAAATCTATTATGGAGAACCTAGGTTTCACCAATAATTTGTCGTCAAACCAGCTAGGTATGCGGGTGGTATTTGGTTGTTGTGGAATGAGCTTGAAATCACTGAACTGTGAAGTCCGGTCCATCTCCACACAAGAAATCCATGCTTGTGTCCAAGTATCTCCTAACTTAACTCCTTGGATCTTTTCTTCTATTTATGCAAGTCCGATGTACAGAAATAGGAAAGATTTGTGATCAAAGCTTAAACTTTTCACGGACTCACATCACTCTCCTTGGCTTATGATGAGGGATTTCAATGAGGTTCTAATGAGCTTAGACAAAGCAGGTGGAAGACCTATCAACACCCAATGAGCCCTCCGCTTCCAAGAATGTATTAACCATTGTGGTCTCACAGACTTGGGTTTTTTCGGACTGAGATTTACATGGTCCAATCTTAGAGCCATAGGCAGTCTTATCTGGAAGCGTCTTGACAAGTGTTGGAGCAACAATAGTTAGAACACCTTATATCCCAATACCCATGTTCTCTATCTTTCTCGTCTCCATTCTGATCACTGTCTCATTCTCCTCAACATACATCTCCATCCTATCTCGAACACACCCCAACCTTTTCATTCGAAACCATTTGGTTGTTGGACCCTTCTTTTTTCGATGTCGTAGATAGTTGTTGGCAACCTAGAGAGACCCCCTTCCAGCTACCGATATAATTACAATTTGGAACAAAGAGGTCTTCAGCAATATCTTTTTTCAGAAAAAAAAAGATTGATGACGGTCTGCTTGTTTCCCAACGTGCTTTTGAGTCTCACCCATCCTCTTTCCTTCTTAACCTTAAAGTCTCTCTCACGCAGGAGTATAATAGCCTACTCAAATTTGAAGAGGATTTTTGGGCCCTCAAGTCCAGAGTCAACTACACTCTTGATGGTGATCGTAATACACGGTTTTTGCATCTCATCACTATAACCTGTCGCCAACATAACAAAATCCTCGCGATCAAGGATCCAAATGACTAATAGATCTATGATACAGAATCTATTAAGAAAATCTTTATTGACCACTTTGTAATCCTATTCCAGTCAAGCCTTTGCACTATCCCTCTGACATCGCATCTTGACCTAACCGTTCTTATCATTGAGTCAGACCACCACTCTCACCTTTCGGTTGTCCCATCCATGTTAGAAGTCAAAAAATCCCTTTGGAATTTGAAACCTCTCAAGGCGCTGTAGACACCCTATTTTTGACTGTCCTCAAGATTTGGTTGTGTTTGTAGGTACATCCAGCCACAAGTTCGATTGCTCGTCGAGTACTCGACTTTCGCGGCGGAATGTCACAGGTTTGAGCTTTCCAAACCTTGTATCCTTTCTGCCCCATTCTTGGACCATGTGTTGGCCCTTCTACCTTGATCCTCATAGTGCATTGCCGACCCCATTTTGGCCCTGCCGGCCATGCCTTTGTTATTGTCGGCCATCAATGAACCACTGCCGGCCACCACTGATGGCCGGCAGAGCCCTTGTCTCAGCAGGTTTCACGCCCGATCTTTTGAGCCAGCTGGTTTTCACTCATCTCTCCTTTATACACGTGTATGGAGGGATGAGCCCCTTTCCAAGCTTGTTTAACAAGCTTTGCATTGTTTTTCTTCTATATAAGGAGAGGCTCTCCCTCCCTACCAGAGGTCAGCTATTTTTTAGAGAAGTTGTATCTCTCTCTCTATATATTTCTCATCCTCTCTCTTTATATTGCATAGAATAGTGCTCTAAAGTCCATTTTTCTTACACTTTTGCACTACAACACATAGAGGTACACCACCATCTTTGAGCTGAGGTTCTTGGGAGTATTAATTGAGCTCTAAAACTTGGTTTTTAGCCTCAGAGCTTGCTGTTTTCGAAGTTGAACTTCAAGGGTGAGTATATTCCTCTTTTTAGCATTTATTTGTACCTCACTTTGGCCATCCTTGCATATTGTTTTAGGCCTTGATTTCAACTGAAAAAAATTCTATTTTTGCATGCTTTAGACCTTTGTTTAAGGTCATTTTTTCATTGGGGGTGATTTACCCACTCTTAGGCCTTGTTAGGCCTTGTTTTGAGCCATCCCTTTAGGCTCTTGTTGAAGGCTTTGCATGACCTTTCTATCACTGAAATCTAGAGGATTTTCAGTAGTGGGAAGGTGGTTTTGGTGTCCTAAACAGGAGAGGGTCATCCCCTCTCCTTTGTGTCTTGTTTACTTGCTTTGAATGCCTCATGTGTGAGCACCTTTGGTAAGTTTATGTTGGCCATATCTTAGCTTGTACTTGGGCTTATTTTAGCATGGCTTCCATTGTTTTTATTTGGTTTTGTCACTCCATGCATGGTTAATACACTTGTAGTGTAAATCTCTTAAACTAGCTTTGTATGCTTCATGAAGTAGCATGTCATTATAGCTGAGTTTGAGTCCATTTCAGCATGTTTTTGGTGATGTTTTTCCATGTCATGACTCTGCTTTGGTTTGGTTTGGTTGGCCCTTGCATGCTCCATGCACTTGTAGAGCATTTCTATGAATTAGCCTAATGTGTCTCATGCTTTAAAATGTCATTGTAGCATGCTTTTGGCTTAACTTCAAGAAGACCTTGTTCATGTTTTAGCATGTTTAAGGTCTGATTTGTGTTGATTTGGTCATGCATGACTTGCTTTGTATAGCCATAGTGCAAGCTAGCTTGTTAGCTTTATGCATTGAGCCCACTAGCATGTGTCACTCGGCCTATTTCAATGATTTGGCATCACTTGTTATGTTATTCCAGTCTATGTAATGTGGTCATTCACTTGCATTTGACATGCTTTCAATGCGTTGGAGGGTTGGCCCCTTTATGCCTTAACATGAACCATTGTGTATGCCTTCATGCCTTAGCTTGCGAGCCATCATTTCAGTGCTTATTTGGGATTATTTTGCCATGATATAACTCTGATTTTTGTTGGTTAAGTCATTCCATGCTTGGTCTTAATAGGTGTAGTGTAATCCACCTTATTTGCCTTGTATGCATCATGTCTTATGCCCTTCATGCTAGCACATTTTGGCTTCCTTTCATGCATGTTTTAGACTCATTTTGACATGTTCTAGGATTGTTTTGGGTTGTCTTTACCATATGCTTCATGCTTTGTATAGCTGTAGTGCAGTTGGCCTTGCTAGCTTTGTGTTTTGTTGACTCATGCATGCTATCTTTAAGCTATTTAGATGATTTGGCATCATTTAATACTTCATTTTAGCATTTAATACTTCATTTTAGAGCTTATAGCATGACTATATTCCCACTTCTTTCATGTTTTAAATGCCTTTGAGTGTTGTGCATTGTTGCTTAGTTTGTGACCTAGCATGTATACCATCTTGCCTAGGTGTTTAAACCCTCATCTCAGCATGTTTAGGTCCTTATTTTGACCTATTTGAGCTTTGTCTATGCTTAGTTCATGCATTTGTGCCATGTATTGCATGCCTCCTTTGTAGTCCTCTTTGATAGCTCCATGCTTTAAGGACTTTCGCATGCTTTACTTGTGTTGTTTAAATGATTTGGCATCATTTCTCACCCCATTTCAGTGCACTTAGTGTTGTTACACTTCCACGCTTTTCACTCTTTAGGTGTTCTTGAGAGTTGCACATTTATACCTTAATTGGTGAGCCAATTGGCATGCATGCTTGTATGTGTTTTTGGTGCCTTCATCTTAGCATTTTGGCCACTGATTTGGGCATATCTGAGGTCTGTCCGTTTCGGTTTAAGTTCATTGAGCATGGTTGATTACATGTTGTTTGCATGCTTGCATTACATCGCATTGCCTATGTCTTATACTTTGCATTGTGTATGCTTAGGTTACATTGCATTGAGTATGCCATCGTTTGCATTGAGCATGCCATCATTTGCATTGTGTATACTTAGTTGTTGCGTGCATTAGCATTGTGCATGCCATTAGCCTTATTAGATTGTTCATATTTCATTACATGTTTGCATGCTTGAGTCGCATTGTGTATGCCATGCTTGTATTCCATTGTTGTTTGGATTAGGTGTTAATTCGAGCACGAGAATCGAGGGACGTTTCATACTTCAAGTGATGAAACGTGTCTTAATTCTCAGTCGCCAACGCTCTTGATTATCCATGATAAAGTTCTAGGCATTTATGTGTTTTTGTGCATTTATTTTACATTGAATTTGCACAAGTTGAATCTTTGGCTATCATGCATCGGGATGCATGATTGATGGTCTTGGATCCAACTATGCCTCTCCCATGATGTTTTGAGGTGATATGGAGTGGCATAGTGCGTACATACCCTTGGGAGACCCTCACTTTTCTCTATTTTGTGCTCTGCTGCAGCTTGGTGTCACAGCACATCAGTGGCCGGCAGTGCCTTGCAGATGGCCGGCAGTCCATCAATTTTGGTCGGCAGTGGCTCCCCATGGCCGGCAGGCCACTGGTGTATTCCCCAGACTGGTTTTGGTAAGGTTCAGTAGGAATTCCTTGAGGATACCCTATAGACAGAGC